AAGTTGAATTCAGCCCTGCAACCTCCTGCATAGAAGATAATATTAATTAGTGCGCTATGAGCTAAATTCCTAAATTTAAACAAACCTATTTACGATGCATTATGTACCAGCAATGTTACCTACGATTAACTGAATATGTAATATGTCTAATAAATTCACCTACAAAAGCAAGTTCGATAGGTGCAAACTTTGTGTTATGGAATTGTATCGCAGCACAGTTTTGTATGACACCCTCTTTAAATGAAATTTCAATGATTAAGCGCAAACATTAAAATTACTAACTTTGAACTTTGTCATTATCTGCAAAATTTTCCACACAAATCTTTCCGCTATCGCGTTTGTAATCTTCTCTGATAAAAAAAAACGTCTATGATGTCCAGAATTGCTCTTTACAGCTTGCCTGTTATTCCAGCTTTCCAAGTAAGCAAAACTTCTTAGATATAGAGATTATTTTGTTTCGTTACAGGCGCAAAAAGGCAGGTACTACACGTAAAAAAGACGCCGAGTAGCAAAAGCGAGCGGAAAACGGACGCGAAAGGCGACGAGAAATATGTGCATTGGAGCGTATCATGAAATACAATGTTTTGCCTGTAGTCTTATGGAGTGACGTCAGAGTTGCCTATCATGTTGTTTAATGTCATTGATAAATACAGAATCGTTGCTATCATAAAGGTAAACCAATTCAGCCACTCGAAATATATTGGCCTTCACAAAGCAATGGAAGCAAAATTGAGAGTTCATGAGCTATGAACATTTGTTCTTTTCTTTGTCTTGAACTTTTCATACTCCACAGCCCCTATTAATTTTTTTAAATTTTTATTACCATGTGATGGTCATACATATCTTTAACTTGTATTTTCTGTCATGATGTATTATCTCAATGTGTCAAACTATTAATTAGTGTGCGTATTTTGCTTCCAGATGACATAAATGTATTGTCTTGTTTATTACCTCAGCTTGGAGTATTGACAAGAAAAAGGTGCCAGTAAATTGGGTAAATTTTTTTCAACTCTTTGTTATAATCATAATTCACAATTAATAGGAATTATAAACTGCCAACAATCAATGAGAATTATATGCGAAATCACTCAGAATAAATTTGTCTAAAATCGGAGGCAGGCAAAACATATAGGTAGTTTCCATCCACACAAGCATTTCAAGAAAACTTGCTCGAGCCAAACTAAATGAGGATCGTCAGGTGATCGGTAAGGCTGCAAGTTGAATTAGACCCTGCAACCTCCTGCATAGAAGATAATATTAATTAGTGGGCTATAAGCTAAATTCCTAAATTTAAACAAACCTAGCTACGATGCAATATGTACCAGCAATGTTACCTACGATTAACTGAATATGTAATATGTTTAATAAATTCACCTACAAAAGCATGTTCGATAGGTGCAAACTTTGTATTATGGAATTGTATCACAGCACCGTTAAAAGAAGTAAAAACAGTTTTGCTGTTTTGTATGTCATCCACTTTAAATGAAATTTCAATGTTTAAGCGCAAACATCAAAATTACTAACTTTGAACTTTGTCATTATCTGCAAAATGTTCCACACAAATCTTTCCGCTATCGCGTTTGTAATCTTCTCTGATAAAAAAAAACGTCTATGATATCCAGAATTGCTCTTTACAACTTGTCTGCCATTCCAGCTTTCCAAGTGAGCAAAACTTCTTAGATATAGAGATTATTTTCTTTCGTCACAGGCGCAAAAAGGCAGGTACTACACGTAAAAAAGACGCCGAGTAGCAAAAGCGAGCGGGAAACCGTCGCGAAACGCGACGAGAAATATGTGCATTGGAGCGTATCATGAAATACAATCTTTCGCATGTATTCTTATGGAGTGACGTCAGAGTTGCCTATCATGTTGTTTAATGTCATTGCTCAGACAAACATTGCAAATATTCAGGCTTGTGTAGGGCGATACAGTAGTACGTTGCTCGTTTTAAAGGCCTTCGAATGGCATTTCACTGGGTGATGGCGGTATTTTCGTGCTCTAAAGTTATAACATATTGTCAAGTGATCTATTATTAACGGTATTCCGCCTTCACATTGCCGTTACCGTACCTAACTTAGTTCCAATAGCTCATTTAACATACAAAAAATTGAATCACTCTTGAGATGACTTTTCTATGACTTGGTTCTTCAAAAACTTTTCTTTCCACCAGCTGGAGAAGTAAACAATACTTTTCATTGAAAGGTGATATTTAAACTTATATGGTTGAAGAATGTCAGAGGACTGGGAGACCTGCGTGACTACCGGTATCGTATCCCATGGTTCATAGACTAATAGATAGCGTCCTAAGTAAGGACTGAATTGGTGGGTTTAGTATAGAAACAAATGAAATGCAGGGGCAGTTTAAAAAGTCTTTTAAATACATTCTTGGAAACATTGCACAAACTACAGCAATCTGTAATTATGAACAGATGATAATTTTTTTCAGATACATTCATGATGGTTCAGTCGTCAAACTTGGTTCAACGCTATATTTCAAAGCCAAGCAAATATACTATTGTAAGATTAGATTCAACAGGTTTATTGAGGTATTATGATCGATTAGATACCACGTAAAATTACAAGACCAATAATGTTATAGTGATAAACATGTTTTAAAAATTGTTACATATTCATCAGAACTATTGCTGCTTGTTGTCATATCGTTGGACTAACCAAGACTATCCAACAGATGAAATTGAGGGGAATAAAAGATTTTTCGCTTCCCCAGCATCGGTAACAACCTATATGGAGGGAACAAAATAGATCCAACAGTTTTGTCGTCTGTATTTGATGCTAAGCCCACAAAGTTAGATCGAGCCATAGTTCCAATCATACCCGGTACCGGTTCAACCAAAAACAGTCGGTTATCTGATAGGTTTTACAATATAGTTTATTCATTCAGTGTAGAAATAGAATATAACAGATTTAAAAAAATATATCATGAAGGAACAAGCAAGTAAATCCAAGAAAATTACTACAAATTATACAGTTTTCCAGATATTGTGTTGTATAGGATAAAAGTACACACCAGATATACCGTATGCTTTTCGGCACAACAAACAAAAACCATGAGAGCAATGGAACGTCAAAATAATTGAATTAAATTCATTTCACAATTCCATTCACAGACATAATGTATTACAATGATTTTACTGCTGAGTTATTTTGTTAAAGCTGCCTGGTTTCATCTCCTGATAATATGGAAGAATTGCGCTCACCGAGCACTACCTCACTGTTATATAGTCAGCCCATAGTTAGATGGGCAAACAACCACCACTTGGTTCGGTTCTAAAGTTATCAGGTGATTATGAACAAGTTGTAATTTATACGACAGTGATAAATGCAAAACAACCCAACAAAATAAGGATATTTATCACAGTTACTACCAAGTGCGGGGCCAACTTCTGGTATCAGGAGCAGCTTGGTGTGACTTTGCAGTCCGCACAAAAAATGATATTGCAATCACCAGGGTCACACCGCCATGGCATGCATGTGAAGTATCCTCTATAAAGTAACATCATTTTATCACCAATGGATTGTAAAAGATTCTACGTGAAGTTCCAAGTCCTCAATATTAATTTTCCTTCTTTATTCATCATTTTTACCGTTAGCAAATATGACACCAATGCTGGAAGAAGTATGTGTTTTCTCATTTTGAATTACATTAAAAGTGTTGCCCGATTCTAAATCTTGTTAATTCTTTCATGCCATTTTATTATTATTATTTCTTTTTCTGGTAGGTGGCCGCGTACTTTTTGAAATCTATTTTAAGTTATGCTCGACTTCCAGTTTTCTCTGCATTTTGTTTGTATGTTGACTTTTTGTGTTGTTTTATGCCAGAGGACCAAAATAAAATGATGATGCTTGAATACATTTTTCTGCTGTCTGACAAAGCACTGTCATTTTCATCAGCGGCACTTGTTTCAACTAAAGATTCTGGGGGAAGATCTGGTTGGATCCCTGACAATCCTTTCTCACTTTCGTCAGATTCGCATGTCTCTGTATCAAATGAAGTATCTGGTGACAGATCCTGTTAAATTATGATCCAAAGTTAAATTATGATATACGTAATCCTTACCTCACAATTTGCTGGTGTTTTTTTGTTTTGGCGACAAGAATCTGATATAGGGTCAGGGTATTCATCAGTTGGTCCATCGCCTCCATGAAAATGCATGATAGAACGCATTGCTTGTATGAAAATTTATTTCATATAAGAATTAACATATTGAATATATCATAGGTATCGAAAACAATATTTATGTTGGCCTACCTTGGTACAAACGTAGGTATTTCTGGTGATTTTTCCTAGATTGAATTGACTGCGAGGCCTGTTGCATTCCCTCATCCACTTTGCTTTTTAACGGTCAATATGTGGCTTCGGAAAAGGCATAAATCTTATTCCATTCGAACGCCAGGGTACCGTACAGGTTGCCAGACCGGCAAATACCATATGCGAAGCGTTTACACATACAGACATAGTTAGTCAACCAAAATAATTCACTAATAGGCTAGATTCTGTTTAATAAAAATGCAAAATCGTATCGAAGGCAAATTCTTCCGTACTGACATACAGTAGGCTACCGGTACCAGTACCCTTGATTGCATCAGCATGACTGTCTACTATTTTTTGGTTCGAAATAGCAGTTGGTTGACCTGTACCGTACCGGTACCTGTAGTGTAAGGCAGTAAGGTGCCTGCAACGGGTACAGCCTTTTAGTATAGATAATTGGATTTCGTGAACGTGATTTGCAAAAAGTAACATACAGTATTACAGCTTTCTAACTCTCGTAGCCCTGTGAAGAAAACAAAAAGCGAAAAAAAAGGACAAAGATCTGCCTAAACCGCCAGCAACCTGTGCGGAACGTGTCCAAAGTTGTCTGAGCGACTTTTCAGAGGAGAATGTTTGTTTACATCTGCTCGCTTGTGATTGGTTGAGAATACGGATGTTTTGATGTCGGGGAAAGGTCCATTGAAACTCTTGCATCACATAGTGGATGACCCTGTTGCTCGGCGACGGGGTCACGGCTTGATGCTGAAAGCTTGCTATCCAATGTTAGATAATAGTGTAGCGTAGCTTGCAAAGTCTTTGACATATTATGTTTTGTGACCATATTCATTTAATATTAGAGTTTTTATTGTAACTGACGAATCAAACATGACAGAAGTACAACACAAACCAGAAAATGTTGGGCATATCTTGGTAAAGGTGAGCTGGGGGAATCGGTTCGAGTTTAGTCAATAATCAGTGCCATCTGATCTAGCCACAACTTAATCCAAGTAGTCTAATAAGAAGCAGCACCAATAATTTTTTCGATTGGAAAAATTCTTCTGATTAACAATATTTTATAGGTTTCACTAGTAGTAGAGTTCAGAACCTAGGTCATACCGGTACTGAAGATAACCACAACCAAATCTCAGAATCTCAGAATCTGGAATGTCCGAATGTAGCTGTAACTTATTATTAAATTTTAATTTTGATTAATACATTTTTATGGTTCCAGTTCAAGAAGATTTGCAAAGACTGAAAAGTCAACTTGCAAATGCTGGAGATACTGTTTTTCAAGGAATTGATTTATCTGCGATTGACAATGCAATACAAAGGACAGAAAAAGGGCTGCAGGTTATTCAAAAAAATTCATTTTTATTTTTTGAATTAGATTAGGAACTTACAGCAGAGTAATTTCTTGTAGATGGCTGCATTTAGCTCATACATTTAGTTGATATCGTTTAGTAGGCCCTATTTGTTAGTACAATACTTTCCTAAGTTAGTACCGGTACAGCGGTACGTGTTTTGATTTAAGAATATCAGAACTTGTTGATATTTATCACATTTTGTTCACTTGAGAAGATAGTTAGTATAAAAAAAAATTGACCAGAAGATAACTGTGTTTTACCCCTGAAATATCAAATTTATTCTCAATATTTAGCAAAAATACAGATCTGGTTGTCAACACAATCAATAATCAAGTTGCTACTCTTCCTCCACTTGATGATATGAGCAGAGTTGGATCCTCATTCTCCAGACATTCAAGACATTCTTCATTTCGAGGAATATCACTACTACCATCAAGATCGGGAGAGTTGAAAGGAGAGAGACCAACATTACACCCTTCTGTGTACCATGATTCACCTGGTCAAAATGTATGATGTAATATATATATTTTTTTATATATACTTATATGTCTTTACCCTGAGTTTAATACAATAAAATTAGTGTCTTGTTATTGCTCCACCAATGTCATAGTTTAGTTTGTTACTCTACTTTTCTATAAAATAAGTAGAAAAAGATGGGACTATTGCCTGATTTAATCTAACTCATCCTAACTTAATCAAAGATAAACAGTATCAAAGAAAACAGATCTAAAATTAATGTTGGGACACTATATCACATATTTAAATTTAGGTTAATCCTAATCATTTGCCTCTTCTCACTATCCTATTTATAATTTTGAAAACTGTATAGACCAGTGATTCTCAAACTACGTTTTGAGAGCCACATGCGGCTCTCAACAACCTTTATTGCGGCTCTTGTTAATGCTTTAAAAATCAATTACTTTCGTAGAAAATTTTTCATTGAAACCTGGTCATTGACTTGGAATTAAAATGCGGAAATCTATTAGTTAGTCGAATGGATTCCTCCGTGTTTAATTGCGTAGCGTTGACTAATCTACAAGATGCAATAGTGACGCAACTGTAAGCATTTTCGCGGCCACTCCGACACTTTTCACTAGGAAAGATTTTAAACATGGCTGTAATCATCATTGGCTTGCTTTCGTGGATTTTCAGTGTTTGTCGCATTTCCGAATAGTAGGTATAAATCAAATATCTCAATGGTTATATTAATTTCTAGAGCATTTTAATTTTGTTCCAATAATCGAAAATAGTCCCGAAATATCTGGCGATAAGCAGCTACTGCACCTTGCATCCTCTACGATTACGACCCGCTTCGATAAACTCATTAGAAATCAAAGCCAAATTAAATGGCTATTAGTCTAGAGCAGGGGTGGGCAACTTCTCTAGTCGGCGGGCCAGATGTGAGAAAATGAAGTCCTCGGCGGGCCGGATTATTACAAAAAATACTTCGGCATCCAATCTTTGTTAAATTCTCGACACTCTCTGTCAATTTTACGTTTCTTGGGATATTTCATGGTTAATAAAACCTAGAATTAATATAAAATCTAATTTCTCAAATATATTTATATTTGGAATCTGAATATAAATATAACTGATAACAGTAGTGAGGAATGTTTACAACGCTCCCTGCGTTTGTTTAACAATTGTGCTAACGCAATTGACCTTCCTCCGAGCATCGACTTCCCTGTTTACTTCGTGACATTGGCCAATCAGCAAGATGCAAAAAGTGATGTACCAATGCTCTCTTTTCGCATCCGCTCAGACACTTTTTTCACTAAGACAGATTTTCAGGCGTGGTCGTAAACATTACCTTAGTTTTCAGTTGTGTTTCGGAGATTCAAATATAAATCAGATAATTCAATGATTACTCTGACTTCCTGAAGTTTCAATTTAATTGCAGTAATAAAAAAATAGTGTAGAAATAACTGTGATAAACTAGGCCAAAATTCTTTACCGGTAGGCCTACTTTTAAAAAAAACATATTGTTGTATGCGATGAATCATAATGATGGTTTCAAACACATAACCCATTATACAAGCGCCAACTCGCGAAATCACTCTTAAAATAAGCCTCGACAATTTTGCATAGTAAAGTATGAGAAGACTTTTTCGGGGGTCAAAGGTCGGGGATTGTTGCATTGTTTGTTCACTAAGACAATTGTTTATTTCCCCAGCTCGCACTGACAGTGCGGTGAGAGTAGAGCGATCGGCAATTTTCAGGAATGATGCGTCGGACCACATTACAGAGTGTGGTTGGATACAGTCGGCGAGCCGTCAAAATTCCGTCGCGGGCTGGGCCCGGCCCGCGGGCCGTATGTTGCCCACCCCTGGTCTAGAGTGTGCAAAATCGTATCTTTTTTCGAATTTGGAAAATTATAGAAACATTGAAAAGTCAGCAATAAAGCGTTTTTTTACTGGGTAAGGGTTAATTTCATCATAATTGCTGATTATCTTTGTCACCGCGATCGTTTCGGCGGCGATGTCCTAAAGTTGGTATTCTATATTTCCGCCCTTTCTCGTTTTATTGCAAGCATAAGGGGCCGCCAGATATCGAAGTTTCATTTTTCAAGTATACCCTTGCGTTCACATCAGACATTAAGGACTGATTTCAAAACCAAATTAATTTTATTCTGAGTTTTATCCTCTGCCTTGGATTTGATCTTTCTTATCACCGCTTGTAAATTAACCTGTTTAAAGTGAACGGTAACCGAGATGCAGATATTTATTAAAAAGATAATTGAGTTTATCATGCTTTTCTATGTATTCGTGTTATTTTAGTATTAGATGTATATACCTAGCGAACTTACGATTGTGTGGATCCTGAATGTTGATTTAGAATAGCGATTAAATAAATTTGCAATAAAGGCATTTCTAGGCCTTAGTGCCTGATAGAGGGTCAGACGCTAATTATACCTAATATCTCCAAGTTTTAACATTTTTTTTTCAACAAAACAACACCCCGATGGTTATTATAGCTAAAATAGGCTACTTACTGAGTAATGCTCAATTTTCTTTACGGAGTTTGCAAATTCAGCACTTCACTTAATGATTTTGATGCTTAATTATTACTGCCCAAATGCTTCAAAATTTAACAATTGTAATCTTTTTCAATGATAATAGACGAATCAGTGTGCATTGTTACAACGAAATTCTCAATTGATTTTACATTTTACTCTTGGCTCAACGGCCATGCATGGTCGAGTAAAATGTTTACATATTTGAAACATTACTTGGCCAAGGATGGAAGGGATCACTAAAGAGTTATACAATGTGCTTTAAAGAGAGTAGAACGTGACATTTCTTATCTGGTTACAACTTAATGAATGTTTTTCATACAAGTAACTTATACCAACTTTTGGAAAATTTTTGGTCATTTTTAAATCCATGCTATTTATATAACTAGAATTTTCTAACGACCTAATATCGCTTTTTTCACAATGAAACGCCGAAAAGTCATTTCAACATTTAATTTTATTTAGATTTATGTTCGGTAATGCAATAAATGGCTAATGACATGTCACCAAGCATGCGGAGTTTAATATCTAGGAAATTTATTTTAAAAACCTAATCTGGTTTGACGTTTCTAAATTTACATAACGGTCGGTACGTTTTTTTTTTGCAAAACATGGAATTGAAACGATACGTTAGGTGCAAAGATAAGCATATAACACCATAACGCAAAAACAACGACTTTTTTAAAATTTGTCTTTTTTTTGGTAGCGAGCGCCGTTGGCAAATCTCGCACAATTCACGATTGAGTTGGAGACGCGCGAGTTCGGTGTCCAAGCAGAGCGGCGCAGGTCGAGTGGTACCGGATTTTCGAATACATAGTAAAATGCCATTTAAATATTTTATAATACAAATATTTTGCCCAGCCTTAGTTGTGACGTGTGCATAACTTCATAACTTTGCTGTTTGAAATGTGGCTCTGGGACTAAAAAAGTTTGAGAACCACTGGTATAGACTGTCCTTTTATTGAAAGTTGAAAATTTTGTACCATTAACATGAGAATGAGGATATACCAGGTTTTCACGAAGTCTCTGTATACTTTCAATTTTGTTCAGAATTCAGTTCCCAATATATCTGAACCAGGGCTAATAAATCATGTATGGTATTCTATTATTGAATTTCCTTGGCAATTTAATAACTTTCAAGATTTTATGAGCACCCGCTATATATATTTTTTAATTAATAGATTAATCGAGTCGAAGATATGAGTTCACATTTTATTCAGCTCTATCAAATGAGGGTGTAATGTTCAATCTATAAACCTATTTGTTATTCAATATAATATACCTGGTGTAATTTTCAGATGCAAAAGAGTTTGACACTGAAAGCCCTTCTGAATCCAGAAAATTTGTTCAACAGAAATGTTTTAAACAAAAGTTATGGAATTGTATTACCAGCTTTGCAACAAGGCAGACAAACAAGGGTATTCATTTTATTGTTGTTACTGTTATTATGGTTTGCAATGGAATCATATTTTATTTACTATCTATCTAACTATTCATGCAAAATCCCTTTAAAATTACTCATGCTGTGAATGATCTACCCTGCTACACCACTAACATCATTCTTATTCTTAATGAGTATCAGAACTATATCATTGACAATCTAATTTTTGCAGCTTCAGCCACTCAATATTACAAAGGGAAGTACAATAGAACCATTATCTGTTTTACCTAAAGCGAATAGAGTTGATCCATCATTGCAACCTCCTCCAATTGCGGAAAAGGTTCTCTTTTATATATTTTTCAAACTCTGCACTTGTACTTTTCATTTTTTGATTTAATGATAACTCTTTGAATGAGTTTTATTACGTTTTAACATATATTATTATATGATGGAAGATTGGGTACCATTAATTGAGCTAAGAAGTGAGTTAGAATCCTGTTTAAGACATTATGAGAAATAACTTCTAATCATCGGTAATAAGAGACATTTCTTTAATTAGAATATTCATTCTAAGAGAATTCATGAGTCAAGATAAACCTGGGCACAAGTGACTCCAAAACTCAATCGCATCTATTGGACAATGCTCGAGGCCTTTCTTATACATATTTGTTTTACACTCGAACCTGAGATGTATAACCTGCAACACCTACATAGTAATGTTTAACGCTTCAACCACCAGCCAGTAATCCTAATTGTCGAGCCAAAGAATAATACTGTGAAATTATTTTCTTTGTGAAGGATGCTAGAAAAGGAATATTGAGTTTGATAGAGAGAGGTTTGATTCCTCCTGCTGCTGAGTTAACATTGGATCCATCACCAGTTCATCACAGAAAGTTACCAATATATCATCCAGATGATATCAAATCGTTGAAAAAACATATGTTATCTAACAGCAGCCACTTTGCAGGTAATGTGTATTCATTTTCATATTTAACTGTCATTTGGAGTTTGCTGAAGTTTGATTCTATATATGGTTATAGGAAGAATTCGAAATATTCTCATTTGAAAATTTTGAATTTGACATCTGATGGTCAGACAAAAAATAGGCGTCATTGTAATCAATCAAGCAATGTCTATCTACCCACACTATTCTGCATTAGCAAATTTAATTTCTATCAATTTGCAACATATCTGCCAAACTTGACTTAAATTAAGATATAGCCTACTGCATATCAGATATTCAAAAACATGAATTTATAATGTAAATCATCCAAGGTCATTACAAATACAGTTTCTCTTCACATTTCATGAGATACCAGTGGCTGCTTGTACATGGACTTAATCTGAGCGAAAGGCTCAGCAAGCGTCATATTAAAAAATAGAATAGTAAATATTTTGTTTTGGCCATCCCTGGCTACGTCTACATGTTTGAAATGATACATAATATAATCAAAATAACAAGTATTTATCTAGTTGTAAATGTTTTTGTTAACCAGAGGGAAGTCATCACATGGCATCAATAAAATTGGATTTATCTCACGATGGTAGAGCAGTAAACACAATAGATGGGAATACATCGCAACAACTTGGGACTTCAGATGAAGCAATTGGTTCTCCAACTGTTCCACCGTCTAGTGCTAATTATTCAAGAACAAGATCAGGAGGTGAGAGTCATTTCCAGTCTTCTCAGAATTATTATTGTGGTGTACCTACTTTCTTAAGGTATCATTTTCATTAATATTTGATAAATATATTAATTTGTTATGAAAAATGTGCTATACTGAGATGTATGTGGAATATGTAGTAAGTTTATGTTTCTGAAAAGTAACTAGTTAACAATCTCACGCCCGTCATGTACTGGTAACTGAACAAGATGTCTTGTTTCATCATATGTTTAGGCTACCTCGTCATCTTTTCCTGCCCCCATGGGATTAATTTGATAAAGCTCAAATCCTATAGCTTTAACTGATAAGGTAACCTGCCTAATTAAGTTCTAAGAATAGCTGCCATGGTAAGTCTTGGTGTTCATGGTGTTACATTTCTGTATTTACCATTTTTTTCAATATCAATTGTACAGGCTTTAATAGTTATTGGGTGCATTTATTAACATGCATTTTCAGAATTCTAGATAAAAAAATATTCTAATATTGTTTATTTTGCTAGGCACAAGGTCACCTCAAGTTCGATCGGTCATGATACATTCTCCAGTTATTTCTCATCATAAATCAGCATCATCACGGAGAGCTAGAACTCCACTTGCATTAACAACATTTGAAGCTCCTCTTGTGCCTTTTGTAAGCTAGAATGAGATTGCGATACATTATTAGCTTCTGACTAGGCAATTTTATGAAGCATTCCCATAAATTCATCATGGCTCTGGCAAAGCTTTGCATAAGTATCCACTGATAGGTAAAAACTACGATTTTTTGGAAGAACCGGAATCTTTTCTGTTATGTCTTCATTCCGCTCTCACCAAGCTCAAAAACTCCATCTATTTTTGCTTTTAATCAATTAATACTAATTAGTTATATGCGCAATTTGCAATGATGTCATTTAAAAACAGGTATGGTGTAATAATAGACCTTCCATAAGTTAGAAAATAAATAACTACTTGAATAAAATTTTAAATAGTTTCCTTTGCCAGCAAGTAAGGAGCCTATGCTAAAATTATCATTCCATTTTCTGAAATAAACGGGTCTATGATAAAAAAGATTCGAAATAGTAAAAAATATAATAATTCCAAAAGAATTTCTAATAATTAAGCCCCGTAATTAGTAGCTATAGATTGATATTTTGTTGCATACCGTTTTCAATTTGTGTGAAGTTTTTGATATATCTTATTTCTTTGTCTTTGTCGTTTTCGAGGAATTAGCACTCCGATTCCGAGGAATTTCAGGAGATATTCTATTCAAAGTTGACTATAAAATTATTTTTTACATTGAGTCATGCTTCACCAATTGGGCCACAAATGTGACCAGCAAAACAATATTTTTATTTTATATTCAGCTGAATAAATTTACACACTATAGGACTATAAAATCCTATTTGCATAATCTCCTATATTTTTTGTGTTGTTTTTTTATAACAGGACCATCCACAACCACCACCCGCCACTCCTGCACCAAAAGAAGATCAAATGCAAATAGTTGCTGCAGCACAAGGAAACAGATTTACTTTATGTGAAGGAACTCTTCCTAATCCTCCTACCTCAGACCCTGAATTTGCAGCATTTCGACAAAGATTTTTATTGCAGTGGGGTCCCGTAATTACAATGATAGGAAGATTGCAAAGGATGTTAGCTCAATATGCTGTACCTGTAGCTGTTGTCAATGGTGAAAGGTGAGGATTTCAGGTTTTTTAATGGTGTGGTTCAGGGAGGACATTATGACAGGGTTTTCATTTAGCGTAGAGGAAAGCTGTTAAGACAGTTTAACTGGTATGGGATTAGTCTACCAGCTGCAACTGCATGGAGTTCAGCAATATTCTTGCACACACACCTGCCGTTTTATCTCAAACATCAAAAGATTGTGGTATTTAGGTAGTGGACTTTGTAACTTCTGGCTGCAATAGTCTATCAATACAGCAGTATATCAGGAAGAATGCAAATGGGTCAACGTCAAATCAGACATTACCACTACCTGTTAGTGCTTGTTTCTGGGGAACCAGGAGTTAGGCATGTGTGAATAAACTTGCCGATTTAAATTAATATAACACAAACACGCTTCATTGCGATAAATAGAAAATCATGTTTTGCCTTCATAAACTCTTGCTATTGTGGGCTAGCCTACTTAAATATTTTAAACTGCTACTTTCTGATAACAGGGCCTTGAGCTGGCAATGTGTGAATAAACATGGTGATTTATGCATTTCCCTAGCTTCAAGCTGTCATTAATTGCATATTGAAGATTTGCAATAATGTGATTTACTCAAAACCTTAAATTGAGACATAAGCTAAATTGGTTCTACTGCGGCGATATGTAGGCTACATTGTTACATTGTTAAACATGTAAATTAAGTATAAATTTATCTTTCCTTTTTTTCATTATCAGATTTGTAGAAGTCGCTCTTGAATATGAATTGGAGATGAAACCAACCAATGAAGAACTTATCAGTACATTAGAAAATGCAGAAGAAGTTTCAGCAATTATGTCGAAACCTGGCAGAATATTTTGTGGAGCAGGTGGAAGTGAAATTGCTGCAACGAAAATTCAAGCAACATGGAGACGATATAAAGCAAGAAGCACATATGTTACTTATAGAAGACAAAGGTATGAATTTATATAAAATTTGTGGTGTTGTGGTATTTTTGAATTGTTTGTTTTCAATTTCATAAATTCCCATTCCAATTGTGTGCATAGTTCAATGTTGTTCGGTTATTGTCGCAATTTAAATCTTCAAACCACATGCCTATCACTTCATTAGCTTTTTGGTTACCGTGCCGTACATCAGAAACAATGGCCACTGACAAATGATCAATGACATATCTGGTCTCATAAGACACAGAGAAAATTTGAAAAAAAAAGGTAATATCCTTCTAGCGACTGCAACTATCTTCCCGTACTGGAAATTCAAAATCGATTAGCTCACTAGTTGCGAAGGAATCACCCCAATAACGAAAATTAGCAAGAATTTTTGTCCAAACATTTCTTGAGTGATGGGACAAAACCTCGGGCTTGGTATCTGATTATGATTTATCTCTGAAGATCACCACTTTCTATTTTCTCCTAAGGTGGGCTGCTGGAGTGATTGCAATATCCTGGATAATGCATGTAAGGATGAGCAGGATGAGAAAACAACTGAAAAACATCAGGAAAATGCAGGCTGATAATTTCAAAGCAAGATCAAAAGTATGAATATTGGTTTTATTATCATGTTTTGCCAGGCTTGATTTGACATAGCTATAATAGAATCGTAGGTTCAAAAATTCCATGCCCACCACCTCACCCTAGGTCTGATAAATTAGGTAGGCAATGCCGAACCAGTGAGATCCCGGTCTTTCAAACTATACTAGCTTCATAGAAACTCCATAGAAAAATTAATTTATAGATATCAGCACCTAACTGTCGAGATTGTGACAGTATTTTATATAGAAATATCAGAAATAAACATAGTCACAATAGAGTCGGTTACTCAAAACTGATGTTATTGCAGCTAGTAGAGTATGTTTAATAATTGTATGAAAGATTTTCTGCCAGAATTTATTCTTCATTAAAGTTAGGTCTTTTTTGTAAAATATTGGTTTCTAATATTACATTTCTCTTTCAAATATATATAACTTCTCCAGACACTTGCCACTGAATGGCCTCGAATATGCTCATCACGACGTGTTGTTGTTCATGTACCTTCACTCGGATATCCACCTCAGTTGAGATTTGGTGTTTCCAGGTTTGACAGAAAACAAAATGCTCAGGTTGGACGTCTTTGTGAATTGAGAGGTAAAACTTTCTAAAAAGTATAAAGCTGAGGTTTTAAAACTTTTCAAATCATGATGCAATCATTTGGTGTAATGCAAATCGTATGTTATCAAACTCAACATTTATCTTATTGATGCACAATTTGCAAACAACTCATTGAAAGTATTTAATTCGTATAGGTTCTTCATATTAAAATGTTATTTAGGATATAATTCAAAGAATAAATTATAGATGCTGACCTGATTATTTTTTTCGAAAAATTTCTCTGTATGGCAGTATGGGGCATCGTGCTAAGTGTCAGGAACACATTTGCCAGCGGCATTTAATTACCCTGCGTGGGTTCGCTGGTTTGAATCTTGGCTAACAATAATTAGGTACCAAAAAATTCGTGGACTTCTCGCCATTATAGAGTGGTTCAACTAATCGCTGGCCTGTTACGGCTTCCTCCACTGTTAAGTCCATGCATCTGAAACGAATATCTGGGTAACAAATCCCATTTGATTAAGATGTCCCATTGGCTCTCTTCTTGGATGAATATGAAAATCCTAATATAAAATTTACTGTTAATGCGCCATTTGCACTATGGTAGAAATGTTGAGACATTACTCTTTTTCTTCTTAGCCACTTTATTGATAATGACCATGTCGTCATGCCAATGTTTTGGAACTTCTCAAGCAATATTTGTATAGAGTTTTTAATAAATCCTTTTATATATCTCATGAGCTTGTACAGTTTTTTTTATAACATTTTTAATACACATTTGGTGATGTTTTTTAAAACTGTTCTTCGTTCTAAAAATATTTATTATTGTGTTTTGATACTTTTCTGTTGTCTTTGCAACAAAAATATTGGATAGGCTAGGATGTAGCCTACATATTTATCGCGGGGAGAAGAAAGACGATAAGACTCCTCAATTATATGGCGATCCACGACCTTTCATCCGGTTACCAGTATGAGATGAGTTAGCCTGTTATTCTGTTTTTCGGAAGCATGGACTTGATGATGGTGGAGGAAGCCGTAACCAACCAGTGGTTACGTGAACCACACTACTGCGGCGAGGAGTCCAGCAATCCTCTCACACATAACTACTCCTGCATATGATTCGAACCTGCAAACTCACGCAGGGTAATCATAGGTGCGGTGGCGAGCGTATTTCTAACGCTTAGCACGATGCATCACACCGCCAAGCAATTAGTGCTTACAGGAATGTTAGAAGCTTGTGCATATAATGACTTTTTATATTCGTGAACCTGAATCACCATTGTTGGTGCTTGAAACCTTTGAGAAGTTATTTTTATATGTGTAATATTTTTTATTATGATGCATATATATTGTTTTGACAAAAGATGATTGAATGTTGTTTTTCTTCAGATTCAAATGTTGATATCATCTATGTATCTCCTGTTGAAATTGGTGAAGAATTGGAACAATATTATAGTAAATTACTGGGTTTAAGATCTGCTGTGCAACATTCTGATCCAGCTAATATTGAAGATATGTCAAGTAGATTTACAATTATTGTGCCTGAAGCTCTCAATAAATTTCCTGTAAGTTTATTGTTTCTTTTATTTGCAAAAAGACTTGCATTTCATGATTGTGATAATAGATAAGTTAAATTTATGTGCATTGTATAGCGCCATATTTTCATTTTTTCTGTTAATGTGACAGTATTAATGTTAACTCACTGGTGGAAATCTCATATTTTGAATACTGTAGAAATTTATTTAGGTATACTGAGTGCAAAATGATTATATAAATAAGTGGTCACATTATAGCAGCGGTTCTCAAACTTTTTTTGCACACTGCGCACTAAGCAAAGCAAAAAAATTTGTTGCACACTTGTAAAAAAAATGAAGTTAGCTGTAAACGAGGTATTCTGCAAATGTTAATGCGATGTGTGTGCCTGTTTTGAGAAAACAATTGAAACGAGATTACATCGCTCCCTTTTTGCTTTTAATTTCAGTCATAGCAAAAAATCTGTGTTCACAGAGCCATGATGATGCTGAAACCTATTTCTAAACTGCAAAGCAAACATAGTTATTTCAATATGGCAATTCACAAGTCTATTTATTCACTTTTGATACAATTTTTGCTGACTCATCATTCAAGTGGTCTTTGGAACTTTATCTGTGGCTTCATTTATGGATGGATTGCTTTTATTTGAATTAGTGCTCATTACTGTTGTTTACTCTTCAAAAATCAACTATCCTCTCAATCTTGTCTCTTATCATTGGATGATATGAATGTGTAACCCCCTATTTTCCACTACGAGTTACCGGTATGTAAATATGGGCACTATTCTTCCACATACTACTATGAAAGTTTAAAAATAATGATTGTAAAAAATACCATATATTATTTAGACTCACCACATGTGCCTCTCATCGTTATTAAAATACAGTCCGCGAGCAATGACAAGAATAAAAATTTAACAAGAGGACGAGATGCTTATCTTGTACCTTCAGTGTTACACAGGGATGATCTTGCTGTAGCTGATTACCTCGGAATTCCTATATTAGGATGCGATCCTGAGGTAAAATTTTGTCTCGATGCTAAAAAACTAAGCAGTTCTTGAGCTGTATGAGTGCATGATGCCATCATAGCCAAGGCAGTAACCATTGAAAAAAAAAATTTATTTGAAAATTTGCTGAAATTGTAAGAAATTGTTTAAGCTGATAACTAATATTAGTTTAAGGCAATATTCATTGAAGTATTTTAATAAAAAGGTATAAGATTTTGTGTCATTTTGGATCCAACATCTGAATATTATAGTGACCTATACTCAAACTAGTACCAGGAGCAGTTGCGTCTTATAGCCTGATGCTCCTTATGTGTGATTAAAAACTCAATCTAAGTTATTTAGTGACATTGCATCTTATAACCCAGTGCGCCTTATGGTTTGTAAAATATGGTAGTCACATTTTGGTACTCCAGAAGTATGTGAACCAACCCTAATCTGGTACACTTACTACGTTCCGATGTCTGCCATCCAGGTTCACATACTTAGAGAGTAACCACATTTTTTTTTCTGTTTTAGATTTGTCACTTATACAGTAGTAAATCTGGTGCAAGAAGAGTGTTTGCAGCCGCAGATGCTTTAGTACCACCTGGTGAGCATGATGTTTATTCTCTTCAACAACTTCATGAAAGTTTATCAAGGCTCATTTGCGAGAATCCGTACATTCAAAGATGGCTGCTGAAAATAGATGCTGGATTTGAAGGGCGTGGCATTGCATATATTGATGTAGCTCAGTGAGTATTAAGATAAAGTAGCTTCAAATTTAAGATTCCCTTACTTGAATTTTAACAAGAACTGTAGTCACAATATGTTCTGAAATTTTTGCCCATTGTTTTCAAGTCTTGTTGTGAAAATAATTTTAGTTATTCCTGTATCAGTGTACTACAATTTGGATTCTCCTGCCTTTTTTTGCATTATTACAAATTACAATATTTTTTTATGTGTTGTAATCACTGATTATCGTCAAGCGACAATAGACCGCATCCATCTCACTACAATAATTACAAACTGTTACAAGTATTAGACAGTAGTTCGATCAGGTTTGCCTACACTTGAGGACTATCTAATTATGTTGCGTGTTCTTGTGTTTGGGTTAAAATGTTTTAGTTTTCTTAAAGCCATATGTTTGGTTATCTTATATAAACTGTCACAAGTCTTCTTAAATTGCTTTAAAAGTTAATTTCTGGTTTTATATCATGTGTGTTTTTTCTTTGGTGTGATTTCACAGTTTTTGATAGATGTTTGCTTACTTGTAAAATTCCAATTTTGTTCTGAGTTTCGCTACCCTTACAGATATCTCTGCATTTTGTTTCTCTGTTTATTTTTTTAATGTTACTTTGGACGAGGATATAATAAATGATTGAAATTTGAAATGAAAATTTAGCAGTTCAATATAGTTTGTTCAATTACATGCAAAAAGAGTTTGGATAAACAATAGAAAATACGTTTTGAAATCAACAACTTGAGTGTGTGTTGTAGAAATAGATAGAATAATGGGTAAACCACCAGGTGGTCACATATTCAAATGTACTTGTATTTACATACTTGAGCCATTTTTTCACTTTCTTCATTTTGTACATACATCAATGTTTCTCAAATTACGAACTATTCAGTTGATAAAATATTATAATAGATACAAACTTTTTATTTTAAAACAGATATTTGCCAAGTTACAGATGGATGTTAAAAGAAAGCATTAGATATGGAGACAAATGGAATAAAAAATGGGCCCAGGTATAATGAATTCATAAAATTAGAATTATCCAGGTATTTGGTAATACAAAACTGACATATTTTAATCTTTGTAATTTCTACTAGGCCTATATATTTTTCTATCTTTTAGGATGCTGCCTATAATAAAATCTTGAATGAAATTCAATATTGCCTCGGAAGATATGCAAAACCTGCTTATAAAGATGTTTACAAATCATGGAATGAATTCATGGAAGTTTTCTTAAGTCAGGTTAGTTAGTGCTCTGTTATTAATTTCTAGTTCAATAAAACGTTTTGAATTTTGTATTGTTTTTTGCCTCAATTTTACACACTGTTTTTGGTTTTAATTGTAGTCTATTTGTTAAAAAAAAGAACAGTGGCATATCCCATCAATTGATTAATTTTGACTAAATAAGAGTAAACAAACGCTTTTTTATTGAATAGTAGTGAAATCCTAATGAGATTTACACGCAAGTTCTCCCTGGAATGTGTTCCTTTTGATTTCTTCGGCGTTGGAGACTTTAGAAAGAGTTCACCAAGTCTTTGAGGATTGTTCTGATACACATTGTCCTTCAAATTCCACGACAGATAACAAATCTGGGGCATTCAAGTCCGATAAATGTGGTGCCCATTTGACATCACTGCTGATCAGCCTTTCCTGAAATAACTCTCTCAGCCAGTCAATGGTGTGATTGGATGTGTGGGGGACTGACTCCTTGTCTTGCTAGAACCACTGGTTATTTCAATTAATCCCTCTTCATTGTTCAAGTGATGTCCAGAACTTATTTAGCATCACCACATAATATTCCTTATTCACCGTTTGAGCTTTTTCATTATCATCTTCAAACCAACACGGATCGATTATGTCAAATTTACAGCATTAATATAATTTATCTGTAAAATTTAGATTCATTTCTAGCTTGTATTAACCTATTTAGGAAAAGTTTAGTATTTTTTTTTTAATCTTTCTTTCTATACATACCAAAAATTGATAAACTAGCAAAGATTAATTCAAGTAATGCCTGTGGCTGTTATCAGTTTGAAGCATCTGGCAACTGATTGATCAGCATTCACGCATGTTAGTCGGTGTCTTTGCTCCAAACGCGAAAAATGATCTGATATTACAGGTGACTTCAATTAAACCGCAATTTGAATATTTTTCAAATACAAAGCAGCAAATACATCCGAGTCATAAAACAAATTAATTTAAATATATTCGGGAACATTAATCAGTATCGTTGGCAACAATTTGTTTTTTTATTTTCATTAATTTATTGTGGGGCTTTGTAAATAATAGTCAAACTCTTCACAGGCTCCATAACGTCAAAAGTTTGAGAATCCTCGGATCATGCAATGTTTGTAAATGGCTACCCATGCCTTGCAATTTACTGAATGTAAAGGTCTCTGTAAGACTAAGACATTTCAAACATATTCAAGAGAGAACATAACTTTCGCACAAGGCGTCCTAGATTTCCGAAACTAAGGGGTATAAGCATACACAAACAGAAGTTCAAGCGCAAACAAAATTAATTAAATTTTTTTCATTTTTGTATTTAAGAAATTATGGGTTCTGTTTTTTGGGTGGTCCTGTACAAAAAAGTTGGTGAAGGATATTAGAACATGTTCGACACACTTTCATAGAGACTTAGAAAGGTGATTTATTTTGCAGGGCGGAATTGTTGAAGCATATCCTCCTTCAGAGAGTGTGACTTGCCTAACAGTTGATATGTTTATTGATCCCACTGGCTTGATACAAATGTTATCTTGTGGTGATCAAATACATGCTGATAACCCATTGTCATGTTGGGGAACATCAGTACCCCAAGTAAGTAAAAGTATACATAGACATAAAATACTTATTTATTAAATTTTCCTAAATTATTGATAATTTTTTGAATTTGTGCTTAGATCATTAGATCTCGATATGTTGAAATTGCAACACATAGCCCAGGTAATTACATCAATAGGCAATGCGGAATCGGTAAAATTCCGGCTGCTTGTACAAGACTTTGTTTGAAGGAGTGAAAAATCACCATATAGAAAATATTTAAACTAAAAAACAACGAGAAAAGCGAAATCTCTTTCCAAGAAATAGCAAGTCTATTGGTAATCTGAGAATATAGATTTCAAACATTGAATCACATTTGTGTTAACTGCAAAAACTCTTTTTTCCTGAGTGAAACCACGAAATTCAGCTTTCAGTAAAAAATAAATCAACAAATGTTGTCCAAATCTCATGTACCACCACCCTTATTTACTGAGTTCACAACATTGACACTGAAGATATGCTTTATTTTTGCATGTTTAATGAATTCTAACTTTTTATATAATTTTCATTGGTTCTCATAAACTTATTTTATGATGATTTATAATCATTTCCATTTCCAGGCTTCTGTGGACCCCGTCTGGCTAGAAAACATGTGCGTTAAAGTAGCTGAAGCTTGCAGAGCAAGAGGAGTTATAGGACATTTTTCAATTGATTATGTAACCTATATTGATCCTGATAATATGAAACAAATTGTTTGGGCAACAGATTTAACATTAGCTTATAGGTTTGTTCATTGGAAAAATTCTACTCATGGAAATTCCACTCCGTAAAAATTCACTCAGATAAATTCTTATCCAAAAAGTTCAACCCATGAAAACTTTAACCATGAAATATTTTACACAGACAAAATTCAACTTATTAAGCAACCTTTTTTATTTGATTCTTTGTATAATGTCAAATTCTTTTGACTTATTTTAACAATTTTTGGTTCTAATTTTTGTGGATGGAATTTTTCGAGACACCTTTTGAATATCTTGCAGCAATGTATATAATTTGACTAACATCTATTGGTATTTATATAATAAAGTCAGTTTTTAGTTTATTCGTTGATATTTAAGTAACCATAACCATCCTATTCAATTATTTGATTGCATTAGTTACATACGGATAAAATAAATATTTTAATTTTATTGTTTTCCCATCTGCCTAAGAAATCCAGTTACATAAAATCTTGTCCTAATGCCACATTCAGATCAGGTAAGTTCTGAAAAATAAGAAAGTTAAAATAAATGATAGAAAATATTTAAACTTGAATCACATCATCACTTTAGCAAACCTTTTTTAAATTAAAGAAACAGTGAAACAATTTTGGAAACCAGGTTCTTTTCTATATCAAACTCACAAACAACAGGTTCATTTTGGAAAACCAAGACAAACCATAGCTGTATTGCAATAGAAGAACGTAACATAAGATTACATGATAAGAATAACTTGAACATCATATTTATTAATGTATGTCACTACGTAAGCTACGTTAACATCACATGCTTCACATAAATGCATAAATTTCAAAACGCCAAATATAAGCTATTCGTCAGCTGTGGTGCTTATTACCCAGTGTGGAAGTCATCTAATGTCTAAAACAAGAACAGGTTTGCTAATTACTTCGGCATTCTACAAATAGGTTCGCACAGATTCCCAGAATCCCATCACCGGTCCGCCGACTGGCGCCTCATGCTGAGCGATGTGAGGCCGTGGCAACTATATGATGAAACTGTCTTATTGTCTTTCCTTTTCCTGGGATAAGTATAAAAAGCCTATTCTATGTGCATTTTACACAGGCTCTTTTAATTGAATACGCCATCAATTTTATGGGAATATTTTTTTTTCAGCGATCAATTGGCCATGACACAGTTGATGTTATTTGTTTCTGGAGGAACATTCGATCCTGCCAAATGTGATTTTCAAGTTCCACCTCCTCCTAAGGAAAAAGTAGGAAGATTTCAGAGAAAAGATCAAATAGTGGAAAAAGTAAGGCCCAAGATTACTGTTGATAAAATTTGCATAATTTTTGTAAAATTTGCATAATTTTTGTAAAATTTATATTTTTGTTTTTGCTGTTTCAGCAGTTTAACATTTATGGTTAAAATATACATTATATGCAACACTATATTATTAAAAAACAAAATGTGGATTGGACATGGACAAGGATTGTTTGGCTACATTATTGGGCGCTCCCGTAGTATGTGCACCAAGATGGCGCACAACTTGATAACCCTAACCTGGTACACATACTATGCTCAGGTTGTGCGCGATCTTGGCGCATATACTACGGGAGCACCCATTATTGTTGTTTTTGTTGTAATGATTCAGATTGTTGTTATTGTGAAAGTCTTTGAAAGTCTATCACTTTTCTCAATTTTTCTGAGTTGTGCCCTATATTTTGACACCAAATATTTCTGTTTTTATAATACACCGACTCAAATTCAGTACACATTTGGTTACAGTTTGCGCACTATTTCAAGTTTGTTTACATGCATTTGGGTATTGCTTATACATTATAAAAAATTGGTATTAAAATCGTATAGTTGTATAAAACAATACTTTGTGTGAGGAGTTTAACATAGAGAGTATGCTTTTAAAAAATAGGCGATAGTTCAATTATCTTGGTCAGTGTTGATGTCACTTTTGTTTGCCAACGACTTGAATATTGCCCTACTATTTATTTGAAAATGGTATATTAGTTATGTTGAATACATGATGTATCTTTGACTTTCTCGAAAACACTCAAATGGGATATTTTTGTGGAGTGGGGGAGGGGGCAAAATCAATGAGTGTATTTCAAATACAATTTGTATATTGTGTCTATTTATTTGTTTCAACAAATTTATGCTGAAAATTAGGGAAAAATTCTATCTTCGATATCCATTTGTGAGTGAGCTTACTAAATATTTCATATACTCAACTTTATTTTTCAGCCACCTCCGATTTTAAACCGATATTGTGTTCTCAGTACCAATCTCCTTCATTCAAACATGGCTGTTGTTCATTACAGCGTATTTTTCCAGGTATTTGTGAATTCGATATTTCTATTATTTAGAACAGTGGTTCTCAACAGAGTGCCGGTGGCCCCAGAGCAGTTTAAGGGGGTCACGACACAAGGCTAATAATTGATCATAAAGCGACATTGTTTGCATACTTTCCTTTTAAAATAAAATTCTCTGTTCAGGCGTTCATCGCAGTTTCATTACTCGAATAGGTTATTTGTGATCACTGGGTGTATTCACTTTTTTGAGCGTGAATTGTTTGATCACAATGAAATTTGGAATCAACCAATCAAAATAGTTTACCAGTACGCCGTCCAACTTGCAGACTGGCAGTTCCAGACTGCAAGCGAGATAACCTTTGCTATCGTATAATAGACGCAAAAACCCATTTGTAAATTCCTAATACCCAAAATACGAAAATGGGACGACAGTCACGTTGGCTTTACCAAAGTAAATGAAGGTGCAATGCATTGCTCGTATGTAATGAGCAATAAATCATTACGTCCATCTAAACTCCAAAACCATTTGACAAACCCGGTGAAAAAAGTTTGTATCGGTTTCTTTGATGCCAACCAAGTTAGATTTGACACTGACAGGAAAGCAATATTTGACAAGCTTGGGTTTCTGTGAGAGGAAAAGCCTAATCATGGTTTTTGTGATATTATTACCATCAATACAAAATCTAGAAACTGTCTTGATGTTGACAATGACATTTGTCTAGCTATGTAAAAGAACTCGCCTCATATAAGAAACCTCGTCAGACAGTCCAAAGTGCAAGCTTTCCTTTGATTGTATACTGGATAGCTTTTACTTCTTTGTCTGTGGTTTGCCATAATAGGTCGTAAAAACATAATACAATCCAACACGTTCAGTTTTTTGGAATGGCGAGCAAGGGGGCCACAAGTGCAAAAGAGCGCCACAAGGCATAAAAGGTTGGGAACCACTGATTTAGAACCTGGAAGTCTTATGTTATAATATGTGTCAAGTTCCATTATGCCAAAACTAAGCAATTGCTCTAAATGCCATTTTCGGACACATGGTTAATATTATCTTTCTGAGACAAGTCTAAAATATATTAAATTATACAAAGATTCAATTATAAAAAGTTTTAATAGATACCAGGATTAACTTACATCTGGGTGGAGTATTTCATGGACGAAATTCACTTAAGAGGGGAATTTTCAGGGTTTTTCATGGGTGCATCGTTCCTATGACTGAATCAAATATACAAATAATTAAATTTCACTTGTGCACAATTGACCGTTCATTAAACAACAAATTGGAAAGGTATATATTTTGTTGAAGTTTTTATCCGATATGCTAAATTTCATTGTCATATTCTATTTCATTCATCACTAGATGTGTCGAGCACATGGAATAGGCTTTGATATCAAGGAACGACAAGGAACTGTTTTTACATTGGTTGATTCATCAAAACGCGAGTCAATGGGAATGCTGTGAGTTGCAGTTATAGTTTCTGTCCTTTTGGCATTGCTGAACAACAATAATTTGAAGTATTGTGTGCTGACTACTGCTAGTTTCTCTCTGCTTTGTTGTGTTGGTGAATCCGTATAACAAGACTCAAAACGACTATATTGGATAAGATAGTAGTTTCATATTTATGCCGGGGTAGGAAAGAAATAAGGCAGCTTAATCATGTGACAACCGTAGCCCTTTCGTCAGGTCACCAGTCCATGTTGAATATCTTATAGTTGAGCAGTTGTATATTTCAGATGCATTACTTAATGGTGAAGAAAGCCAAAACCAACCAGCAGTTACATGAACCATCCTATGCTGACGACGAGTCTAGCAACCCCCTCTATCACATTTTTCTCTAAAGGATTTGAACCCTAAACACACGCAGCATAATCATAGGTGCCATGACTAGTGTTTCCCAAACGCCAACCACCGATTTGTTCAAAGGTTTTGCATCACAAATTTTACTTTATTATTCACTTATTTAAACTCGCAGTTAGTAATAATGTATTTGTTTATATTAGACAAAACCTTACTATACATTTTTCAGAACAATCGGTGATGATCTACCAGGGACTCTTGCCTCCTTTGCTCGTGGATTATCTGTTATTCATCAAGAGATATCTGCTCCTAATATGCAGGTTAGTTAAAATTTAACTATGGTCATCTGCTATTCTTTCTCCATTTACTGGTATTTACTTCTGACTATATATTTGATATAAATTCTATTGATTGATTGTGCGTTGCTCAATAACCAGCTTTAATCTTTCACCTGTATCTTTCTTCTCATTATTTTTTTGCCTCTAATTTTGTTTTACTGGTAGAAAAAAATATGCTCGACTCGATAGATCTTTCCAGATTATTTCAATAGTGGTCAATGCGTGATTACGTCTATATAACGAATATTTTCCAACTAATTGAGTCTGACAGCATATACTGTTAGAAATAAGATTTTCAGATTTACATACGAAACCTGGTAAGGCGATTTGTCCATATGACAAACCACAGGCTCTGTATGTGCATGTCCATGTTCAGGGTGATCATTCACTCCATATACATCAGTGGTTCTCAAGCTTTTTAAGCCCTCATTAAAAGTCTCGCACACCACCTCAAAAATAACTACCTTACAATAAGCAACAGATAGTAGGCCGAAAGTATGTTTTATTCAAAAACACGTTAAAAAAACGTTGCTGAAACGTAAATATCCAAAATAAAAAAATTTAAATATCCAAAATAAGGCAAGTTTAACATATATTTCAATTTTTAGTAGCTTCACGCCCCCTCAAGAAATTGTCTACCTCCTCCCCCTCTTGTGGGGTGCGCCCCACCATTTGAGAACCAGTGATATAAATGAATGTAGTTATTTGGCACATGTCTGAATCTACTTCTCCGCATGTTTCTTTCGTTTAGACAAGTAGTCTACCCCTTACTCATTAATGAAATATATATTAAAAATTTCTAATTTATTTTAGGGTAAAACAAATTTCAAAACTGCAATTGATGATATTGAAAATATTTTAAAAATGACAACTCAAAATGAAGAAGAAAGTGAGAAAGCAAGAACAGATCAGAGCTTTGAAATATCACAGATTCCTTCTCTTGCTATCACTGATGGAAACTTGCAAACAAATCCTTCTGAATTGAGTTAATGTTTTATTATAAAAAATTGAACAACTGTGTGCTAACATCTCCAATTTTTACCTTTCGATAAAACTTCTACGAATATATATTTTGAGACCAAAGATACTATCATTGTTTTGCTCTTAGGAATGTTGATGCAATATAATACGAGGCAAAGTCTAGGACAGATAAATTTTCTCTAGGAATAAAAAGTCTAATATCACATGGAACTTAGTGTAGGATTATCATAAATCTTCTGAAGCTGAAAAACGGCTTAATCACATTGCAAAACAAGGACTCTCGCCTGGTTATTTAGTTCATGTCCGGTAAAGGATGATTAGACATAGGCATTCCCAGTCGAGTACACCCTAATACTCTTTCTCCTGTTTGTCTTGCTTGCGTCACAAATGTCCTGTTTGTCCCATACTTGTTCTGCTTATCCCGTTTGCTCCTACCACACTTGTCCTGCTTATTTCAAGACTGTCCTGTTTGTATCACACTTATGCCTGCTTTTCTAACACTTGTCTTGATTGCGCGTGCTCGTCGCATTCGTTTTCGAATGTGGATTATCTTTGAGACAAGCATATCACTACTCGCAGGACCAAGCACATAGGTGCCGCCCCAGTCAAACTCAAATTTATTGCATGCATACATAACAATGCGACCGTTCTGCTAGCACCAAATGTGCTCAAGCCAGACCCTCGATCGAGCGCTTCCTACATATTAGTTGAGACAACGGCCGCTTCTGTCGCGACGCGGCACTCTCTCGCCCGTCTTTCGAGGATACCATCCTAGTTGAGGTCACTTTAGGACACCTTCGTTACACCTTGACAGATGTACCGCCCCAGTCAAACTCAAACTCAATGCATGTATTAGCTCTAGATTTACCACAGTTATCCACTTCGCTCACGAGACTTAATAAACCAAGGCTGATTTTATGAGCCATTTGCAGTTTCGCTTTAATAGTACTCGTACTTGCAATATCATGGTTTAATCTTTGAAACAAGTATATCACTACTGGCAGGGCCAACCAGATAGCTGCGACAGCTGCGCTCGGCCACCCTCAGGCAGCCTGGAGCGCCCCTTTGCTTTACCCGAGGTTTCCATCCTCGCTGAGCTCACCTTAGGATACTTGCGTTACACCTTGACAGATGTACCGCCCTAGTCAAACTCAAACTCAATGCATGTATTAGCTCTAGATTTACCACAGTTATCCACTTCGCTTACGAGACTTAATAAACCAAGGCTGATTTAATGAGCCATTTGCAGTTTCGCTTTACGAGTACTCGAAATTGCAATTGCATGGCTTTATCTTTGAGACAAGCATATCACTACTGGCAGGACCAACCAGACAGCTGCGACAGCTGCGCTCGGCGGCCCCCTCGGGCCGCCCGGCGCGTGCTCGTCGCATTCGTTTTCAAATGTGGATTATCTTTAAGACAAGCATATCACTACTCGCAGGACCAAGCACATAGGTGCCGCCCCAACCAAACTCAAATTTATTGCATGTATACACATAACAATGCGACCGTTCTGCTAGCCCCAAATGTGCTCAAGCCAAACGGTCGATCGAGCTCTTCCTACATATTAGTCGAGAGAACGGGTTCGCTCATTAGCATCGCCTTTGTACTTTTAACATTTTTTTGGCTCTGCCGCTCTCGACAGCGAGGCTCCGCTTCTGTCGCGACGCTGCACTCTCTCGCCCGTCTTTCAAGGATACCATCCTTGTTGAGGTCACCTTAGGACACCTTCGTTACACCTTGACAGATGTACCGCCCCAGTCAAACTCCAACTCAATGCATGTATTAGCTCTAGATTTACCACAGTTATCCACTTCGTTTACGAGACTTAATAAACCAAGGCAGATTTAATGAGCCATTTGCAGTTTCGCTTTAATATTACTCGTACTTGCAATAGCATGGTTTAATCTTTGAAACAAGCATATCACTACTGGCAGAACCCACCAGATAGCTGCGACAGCTGGATGACTCTGAACACTTCGCAGTGAGAAACTGCTCTAGTGGGTATGACACCCCAATCTTCAACTAAGTTGCCTGCAAATGATTTAGCATCTCGCATTAGCGCAGCTTGGCCGCCTTGACTTAGGCGCAAGTCGTTCAAGGATACCATCCTCGCTAGGGTCACCTTAGGACAACTGCGTTACACCTTGACAGATGTACCGCCCCAGTCAAACTCAAACTCAATGCATGTTTTAGCTCTAGATTTACCACAGTTATCCACTTCGCTTACGAGACTTAATAAACCAAGGCTGATTTAATGAGCCATTTGCAGTTTCGCTTTACGAGTACTCGTAATTGCAATTGCATGGCTTAATCTTTGAGACATGCATATCACTACTCGCAGGACCAAGCACATAGGTGCCGCCCCAGTCAAACTCAAACTTATTGCATGTATACATAACAATGCGACCGTTCTGCTAGCCCCAAATCTGCTCAAGCCAGACGCTCGATCGAGCGCTTCCTACATATTAGTTGAGACAACGGCCGCTTCTGTCGCGACGCGGCATTCTCTCAAACCCAATGCATGTATTAGCTCTAGATTTACCACAGTTATCCACTTCGCTTACGAGATTTAATAAACCAAGGCTGATTTAATGAGCCATTTGCAGTTTCGCTTTACGAGTACTCGTAATTGCAATTGCATGGCTTTATCATTGAGACAAGCATATCACTACTGGCAGGACCAACCAGATAGCTGCGACAGCTGCGCTCGGCCCCCTCGGGCCGCCCGGCGCGTGCTCGTCGCATTCGTTTTCGAATGTGGCTTATCTTTGAGACAAGCATATCACTACTCGCAGGACCAAGCACATAGGTGCCGCCCCAGTCAAACTCAAATTTATTGCATGTATAAATAACAATGCGACCGTTCTGCTAGCACCAAATGTGCTCAAGCCAAACGCTCGATCGAGCGCTTCCTACATATTAGTCGAGACAACGGCTCGCTCTTCCATCCTCGCTGAGCTCACCTTAGGATACTTGCGTTACACCTTGACAGGTGTACCGCCCCAGTCAAATTCAAACTCAAAGCATGTATAAGCTCTAGATTTACCACAGTTATCCACTTTGCTTACGAGACTTAAACCAAGGCTGATTTAATGAGCCATTTGCAGTTTCGCTTTACGAGTACTCGTAATCGCAATTGCATGGCTTTATCTTTGAGACAAGCATATCACTACTGGCAGGACCAACCAGATAGCTGCGACAGCTGCGCTCGGCCCCCTCGTGCCGCCCGGCGCGTGCTCGTCGCATTCGTTTTCGAATGTGGCTTATCTTTCGAATGTGGCATATCACTACTCGCAGGACCAAGCACATAGGTGCCGCCCCAGTCAAATTCAAACTTATTGCATGTATAAATAACAATGCGACTGTTCTGCTAGCCCCAAATGTGCTCAAGCCAGACGCTCGATCGAGCGCTTCCTACATATTAGTTGAGACAACGGCCGCTTCTGTCGCGACGCGGCACTCTCTCGCCCGTCTTTCAAAAATACCATCCTTGTTGAGGTCACCTTAGGACACCTTCGTTACACCTTGACAGATGTACCGCCCCAGTCAAACTCCAACTTAATGCATGTAATAGCTCTAGATTTACCACAGTTATCCACTTCGCTTACGAGACTTAATAAATCAAGACTGATTTAATGAGCCATTTGCAGTTTCGCTTTACGAGTACTCGTACTTGCAATTGCATGGCTTTATCTTTGAGACAAGCATATCACTATGGGCAGTGTCGGCAGTCCGTGTGGTCCTAAAGTTTAGTTTAGTTAAGATTCCTTCAGTTGTACATCGTCATCGTGATGATTATCGCTATCTCGTCGTCGTCATCATTACTGTGTTGTTTTCTCGTATTCGACGTGTCGCATTTTTCTCTTTCACGTGTTATCGTGTTACGTATTTATTTTATTATTGTCCCCTAAGCTCAACAAGATGTTTAAGATTGCATTTCTGGTGGTAGCAGTTTAGGATTTCATTTCTTGTTATGGCAGTTTAAGATTACATCGCTTTTATAAGTTGAAGTTTGAATTCATTCAGTAGCCTCCTTTTATACTGTATTTCGAATCGTTCAATATAACATTATGATATTTGCATGTCTACAGCTCGTATTGTATTGCATTTATAGTTACTGTTTTACCTTGGTTGTATATCTGTCGTTTTGGGACTATGCTGTTATATGGAGTTGTTTTGTGTAAGTATTAGTTTTATATTCTGTTTCATTTGTCTTTGATTTATTTGGTGCTAATTATTTCGTTTGTATTTTAGTCAACCGTTTTGAATACTTTCAATAAAACGAGTCTGGCAAATCGACTTATCATTTCCGGGTCCCAAAAGTGACAAAGTTGAACAAATCTCCTTGCGACGACGATGAACGAAGCAGATGAATCAATTACACAAGATTTGAATAGACGAGAAGCTTCTTCTTCGCCTGCAGTTCCTCTTGCGAAAACAGACGACGGTAACTCTGAAACTATTGGACGCAATGTATTATGCCACGAAAGAGTCCGACTACAAAATGAACTAAATGGTTTGTGCGACAGAATTTCAAAATCGATTACTGAAAATGCTCAAAATTCTATCGTTACTGATCTTAAAATTAAACTTCATGTTAAACGAATTGCTTATGACCAAGTGATGGATAAACTCATTCCGACTACCCGTAATCCAAATGTTTTGAAGAAATATGAAACTGGAAGGCAAATGATGTTATCGAAAATCGATCAAATTGAAAGCAGAATTAATTCTTACCTTGACGAGGAGATCGTTTTGATCACGGGTCTGTCGAATCCAATACAAGCAAATGCAGTGTTGAATCACTGAAGCGATTGCAACTTGAGCAAGAACGAGAGGTAGAAAGAGCCGATTCTCTTGTACGTATGGCTAAACGAGACTTTCTCACAGAAGAAGATACCATTCGCAATAAAATATCAGCACTAGAGCGTCGCCTTGATACCAAACGTCGAGACATAAACGAAAAAGAACGAATGGCAGATCTAACACGTCGCCAAGCTGACGAACTTATGCGTGAAATTGAACAAGAAAAGACTGAATTGGCTACCAAAAAGATGCCTAAAGATAACTTCCGTGGCGTCAATATTGAATATCCGTTAGAGTCAACACGCAGACGAAGTGCAGCGAACTTTTTTGTTCCGACGAAGAGTCAAGTGACAACAAATTCAGAAAAGACCAAAGAATTGCACTTCCCGACAGCACGAACTTACAAACGCCCGTCTCCTGCAAACAGAATGCTTATACCACAAGAAGCAGTCGACGCGTGGATTGACCACTTGGAACCTAACCAGTCTGGTAAATTTTCTGTTAATTCTTTTAATATGTCAGTAGAGGAACAAACTATGTTATCATTACAGTTGAATTCTAGAATATTGTCCCAGCACCATTTATCACCGATTACGATTCCTAGTTTTAGCGGAACGCCCCTAGAATGGCCAAACTTTATTGAGTTATTTTTTGATAATGTACACAGTTCTCTTGACGACGACTGTTCGCGTATGGTTCGCATAGTCGCGTCTTTGACGAGGGTGGCTAAACGACATGTCGATGGCTTCGGCACGGTGGGAAGTAATTATATTGTCGCGTTGAGTGAATTGAAACATATATACGGCCAACGGGTGACGATTGCTCGGGCCTTTATCGAGAAGGTTGTAGATGGTGGACGAGTAACAGAATTCAGTATCCGAAAAATATCCGATTTTCATTCTGAAGTTCGCGACATTGTGATAAATTTGAAGAAAATGCGATTGCTTGCAGATTTGTATAGTATTGAAAATGTTAGAAAGACAGCAATGCGAATTCCGGCAGAACTGACCTCGAGTTGGAATAAGTTTGTGACTGATATGATTCGTGCCGACGAAATGCCGAGTTTACTGGACTTCGAGCAGTGGTTGTGAGAACGATGCGAGGAATTAGGAAATCCTTTTTCACCAAATCTTTTCAGTACTAAAATAGATCGTGACGATCGCAGACAGGCATTTCCTAAGAAGAATGTGGTATACCCTTTATCGGGTCATTCAAATCAGCCGCTCGAACAACCGCGAATGCAATGTTTCTATTGCAATGGTTTTCATTCTTCAAGTAACTGCGATAGCTTCAGGTTTAGTGCCAATGACACGAAAAGAAGATTTCTACTAGATTCACGCCTGTGCTTCAACTGTCTCGAACCTGGACATTTAGCTATTTCGTGCCGGTTTCGCAATATGTGTCGTGTTTGTCCCGGTAAGCATCATTCAGCCATCCATGGTTTGAGAGTCGTTCCTAATAGATTGAGTGATAACAATCAGCCTGATCTCCATCCTCATATGAGCGGCGTTGCCAATTCTCATGTTTCAGGCGTTAATGGTGTTCAGTTTCAGCTTTTGCCAGTCGTAGTAAAAGGCCCATTGGGATCCTCTGAATATGCTATCGCTGTTCTAGACTCTGCCAGTCAAATCTCAATAATACATCCCAAATTAAAACAAAAACTTGGTTTAAAAGGAAGTCCTAGGTGTCTAACCATTAACACCTTATGCAATAAGGGCGTTTCGCAAAATACGGAGGTGGTGAAATTGTCGGTGCGATCTGCTCACGACGAGAGTGGTCAAATTCTGATGTTAAGCAACGTGTTTGTGGTCGAGTCACGCATATCACATCCAGCTAGAATCCTTAAGAACGATCACAATATGACTCACCTGCAGGATATTCCATTAACCGACATTGAAGCGAACAAAGCCATGATTTTAATCGGAGCCGATAATCCCTTAGCGCATTTCCAGCTTGAACGTAGAGTCGGCCAGCAACATGAACCAGTGGGTATTAAAACTCCTCTCGGTTGGACTTTGATCGGGTCTTCAGGCGCGACTAATGAAGATGAAACTGTTTCAAATATGCTGTGTTGTGATTTGCGTGACCAGTATAACATGCTGCAAGAACAAGTCGAGCGATTTTGGTCCACTGAAGCTGTAGGCACGGTGTACAATTTGACCCGTAGCGAGTCGATTGAAGATAGACAAACTGATAATTTGATGGAAAGAAAAATTAGATTTATCGACGGTCATTACGAGGTTGGGTTTATGTGGAGAAATGAAAATTGCGAAATGCCGCAAAACGAACACGTAGCGCTTAACAGGTTCGAAAATCTTAGAAAACGACTCCAAGGAAACGAACGTTTGCGAAACTTATATTGTAAAGAAATGGCAAAGAATATTGAAAGGGGTTGGGTGCGTAAGCTAACTTCAGACGAAAAGGCGTTTCGCGGTCCTCGAACTTGGTTTCTGCCTCATCATGGCGTTGAAAATCCCAACAAGCCAAATAAACTAAGAATTGTTTTTGACGCGGCATCTACTTGCTGCGGCGTCAGTCTGAACAGTCGATTGATGTCCAGGCGCGATTTGATCAATAATCTAGTCGGGGTGCTTTTACGTTTTCGGGAAAGACCAATCGCTATAAGCGCCGATATAGAAGCCATGTTTCATATGATTCGATTGCCGGAAGATGATACGGATTCTGCACGTTTCTCTGGTCGGAAGACCTTTTTTCAACCAAACGGCCAGATGTGTATAAATTCTTAGTTCGTATTTTTGGAGCTGTGGATTCACCTTATGTCGCAAACTTTTGTTTGAAGAGAGCTGCGTACGATAGTAGAAACAAGTTTCCTAGAGACGTAATATTAACTACCGATAGAGACTTTTATGTCGATGATTTACTTACTTCGAAATGAAATGTTGATTCCGCGGTATCGACAGCTAAAGATATGATTAAGATGTTACACGATAAAGGATTCAACTTGACCAAGTGGGTTTCGAATTCTAAATCGGTTTTACGTGAAATATCCAGTGGACGTGTCGTCACTAATGTTGACTTAGATCTGGACAGATTACCTGTTAGAAAAAAGCTCTGGGCTTGCATTGGGACATCGAGAAGGATTGCTTTATATCCGACCACCAGAAATTTACTGAATTTACCACGAAAAGAAAGGCCCTTAGTGTAACCAGTTCAATATTCGATCCATTAGGATTTGTAGCACCAATCATTTTGTATGCCAAATTATTACTGCGGGAATGTTGGCGTGACAACTTAGCTTGGGACGAAGTATTTGATAATAAGAGATTGAAGTGTTGAGAAAATTGGATAAATTCGCTGAAATGTTTAAAAGAGTTTTTCGATTCCACGTCAATTTAAAGGTGTTAAATGTGAAAGTTCCTCGTATGAAATTCATATATTCTGTGATGCATCAGAAGTGGCATATGGCGCGGTAGCATACATAATATCGAAGCATTCCCGGGAGAATTTTCAGTGTAGTCTTATCGCGGCTAAAGCAAGAGTCGCACCTATGAAAGGTATGACCGTGCCTCGCTTAGAATTGCAAGGTGCTCTCTTGGCCGTGCGATTGTTAAATTTTCTCCGAAAAGAACTATCCCTTCCACTAGGCGACGTTGTTTTATAACTACGGATAACAGCGATGGAGTACTTGATTCGGAAATCGAAAAGGTCGTCGATGTCGAACGTTTTGATTCGTGGTTTTCCTTATGCAAACGAACTGCCGTGGTTTTGTTGGCAGCTCGGTATTTTAAGAATCTTTCTGTGAAATGTCCGACGTATAGCCCGCTGCCAGCTCAACTTGTGACTCCTAAACAGTTGGAACTCGCGGACCGGTATTGGATAGTTTCTGCTCAAAACAAGCATTTCCGCGTGGAGCGCAAATGCATAACTAACGGAGAAGATTTATCATCAAAATCAACGTTACTTAATCTGACGCCATTTTTCGATGGACAAGTGATTGATCCGCGTCGGGGGCCGTCTTGAAAATGCCGATATCCCACTGCGTTCGAAACATCCCATTATACTGCCGTATTCAAGTTTGAAATGTGCGAATTTCATGGTTGATAATGAAAGCTGTTCATATTCGACTCGCACATGCCGGTCCAGGGGCCACGCTTAGCGCATTAAGACAGCGCTACTGGCATATAAAAGGGAGAAAACTTGCCAAACGAATAATTGATAATTGTTGGGAATGTAAAAGACGTCGAGCAAGTTGCAGAACCCCACTGATGTCGAATCTTGAAGCAAGACCGTTCGAAAATGTCGGGCTGGGTTTCTTCGGCCCGATCCAAACAAAGAGAGGCAGGGTTTTAGAGAAACGATGGCGGTGTTTGTTTTGTTGTCTTTCAATGAGAGCTGTACACATTGAGATGGCATGGACTATGGATACTGATTCCTTCATATGTGTACTTTTGTCTTTCATTGCGATACGAGGACCTGTATCCCAAATATGGTCGGACAACGGATCAAATATAGTTGGTGGTTTCCGAGAGCTGAAAACCGTCCTTAACTCGATAGATGAATCTCGCGTGGCAGAACTGTGCTTAAAACACAATATTGAATGGCATTTCACTCCACCTTACGCTCCCCATTTTGGGGGCGTTTGGGAAAGATTAGTAAAGTCCGCAAAGCGTGCTTTGAAAGCAGTTCTGGGGAATGTGCGTGTAACCGACGAAGTCTTGAAGACCGCGTTTGCGAGGGTTACCGACATCATGAATAGTAGACCCATTACAACAGTGAGCGACGAACCAACCGACTTTAGTGCCAGTACACCAAATTGTTTGTTGAAAGGGCATTCGGCCGAAGTGTTTCCACTGGATTCAGACGTGATGAAATTATGCTACAGAAAACGATGGAGGCAAACCGAAGCTATTTGTAATCAGTTTTGGAGAAGATGGCGAAAAGATTACCTACCGAATTTGATGACACGATGTAAGTGGCGGAAGAAACAACGAAACTTACAAGAAGGAAATCTGGTGCTCGTTTCTGACCCCGTTGCACCGAGAGGACGTTGGCAACTTGGTCGTGTTTTCAAATTTACCCTGGTTCTGACGGACGAGTCCGAACTGTCGCGGTTAAAACTATACATATTCGACCCGCATCGAAAATCTGCCTCCTAGAAGAATGACTTCCTGCGGATAGTCATGGGGTGGCTTTGTCGGCAGTCCGTGTGGTCCTAAAGTTTAGTTTAGTTAGGATTCCTTCAGTTGTACATCGTCATCGTGATGATTATCGCTATCTCGTCGTCGTCATCATTACTGTGTTGTTTTCTCGTATTCGACGTGTCGCATTTTTCTCTTTCACGTGTTATCGTGTTACGTATTTATTTTATTATTGTCCCCTAAGCTCAGCAAGATGTTTAAGATTGCATTTCTGGTGGTAGCAGTTTAGGATTTCATTTCTTGTTATGGCAGTTTAAGATTACATCGCCTTTATAACGTTGAAGTTTGAATTCATTCAGTAGTCTCCTTTTATACTGTATTTCGAATCGTTCGATATAACATTATGATATTTGCATGTCTACAGCTCGTATTGTATTGCATTTATAGTTACTGTTTTACCTTGATTGTATATCTGTCGTTTTGGGACTATGCTGTTATATGGAGTTGTTTTGTGTAAGTATTAGTTTTATATTCTGTATCATTTGTCTTTGATTTATTTGGTGCTAATTATTTCGTTTGTATTTTAGTCAACCGTTTTGAATACTTTCAATAAAACGAGTCTGGCAAATCGACTTATCATTTCCGGGTCCCAAAAGTGACAGGCAGGACCAACCAGATAGCTGCGACAGCTGTGCTCGACCACCCTCAGGCAACCTGGCGCGCCCCTTTGCTCTACCCGAGGTTTCTATCCTCGCCGAGCTCATCTTAGGACACCTGCGTTACACCTTGACAGGTGTACCGCCCCAGTCAAACTCAAAATTAATGCATGTATTAGCCCTAGATTTACCACAGTTATCCACTTTGCTTGCGAGACTTAAACCAAGGCTGATTTAATGAGCCATTTGCAGTTTCGCTTTATGAGTACTCGTAATTGCAATTGCATGGCTTTATCTTTGAGACCAGTAAATCACTACTGGTAGGAACAACCAGACAGCTGCGACAGCTGCGCTCGGCCCCCTCGGGCCGCCCGGCGCGTGCTCGTCGCATTCGTTTTCGAATGTGGCTTATCTTTGAGACAAGCATATCACTACTCGCAGGACCAAGCACATAGGTGCCGCCCCAGTCAAACTCAAATTTATTGCATGTCTACATAACAATGTGACCGTTCTGCTAGCCCTAAATGTGCCCAAGCCAAACGCTCGATCGATCGCTTCCTACATATTAGTCAAGACAACGGCTCGCTCATTAGCATCGCCTTGTACCACATTTTTTTGGCCGCTCTCGACAGCGAGGCGCCGCGTCAGTCGCGACGCGGCACTCTCTCGCCCGTCTTTCAAGGATACCATCCTAGTTGAGGTCACCTTAGGACACCTTCGTTACACCTTGACAGATGTACCGCCCCAGTCAAACTCCAACTCAATGCATGTATTAGCTCTAGATTTACCACAGTTATCCACTTTGCTTACGAGACTTAATAAACCAAGGCTGATTTAATGAGCCATTTGCAGTTTCGCTTTAATAGTACTCGTATTTGCAATAGCATGGTTTAATCTTTAAAACAAGCATATCACTACTGGCAGGACCAACCAGATAGCTGCGACAGCTGCGCTCTGCCACCCTCAGGCAGCCTGGAGCGCCCCATTGCTTTACCCGAGGTTTCCATCCTCGCTGAGCTCACCTTAGGATACTTGCGTTACCCTTTGACAACTCACCGCCACAGTCAAACTCAAACTTATTGCATGTATTCATAACAATGCGACCGTTCTGCTAGCACCAAATGTGCTCAAGCCAAACGCTCGATCGAGTGTTTTCTACATATTAGCCGAGACAACGGCTCGCTCATTAGCATCGCCTTTGTACTTTAACTTTTTTTTAGCTCTGCCGCTCTCGACAGCGAGGCGCCGCTTCTGTCGCGACGGGGCACTCTCTCGCCCGTCTTTCAAGGATACCATCCTTGTTGAGGTCACCTCAGAACACCTTCGTTACACCTTGACAGATGTACCGCCCCAGTCAAACTCCAACTCAATGCATGTGTTAGCTCTAGATTTACCACAGTTATCCACTTTGCTTACGAGACTTAATAAACCAAGGCTGATTTAAAGAGCCATTTGCAGTTTCGCTTTAATAGTACTCGTATTTGCAATAGCATGGTTTAATCTTTAAAACAAGCATATCACTACTGGCAGGACCAACCAGATAGCTGCGACAGCTGCGCTCTGCCACCCTCAGGCAGCCTGGAGCGCCCCTTTGCTTTACCCGAGGTTTCCATCCCCGCTGAGCTCACCTTAGGATACTTGCGTTACACCTTGACAGGTGTACCGCCCCAGTCAAATTCAAACTCAATGCATGTATAAGCTCTAGATTTACCACAGTTATCCACTTTGCTTGCGAGACTTAAACCAAGGCTGATTTAATGAGCCATTTGCAGTTTCGCTTTACGAGTACTCGTAATCGCAATTGCATGGCTTTATCTTTGAGACAAGCATATCACTACTGGCAGGACCAACCAGATAGCTGCGACAGCTGCGCTCGGCCCCCTCGGGCCGCCCGGCGCGTGCTCGTCGCATTCGTTTTCGAATGTGGCTTATCTTTGAGACAAGCATATCACTACTCGCAGGACCAAGCACATAGGTGCCGCCCCAGTCAAA